ATGTTTTTTTTCTATGTTTTTGTTTGCTAATCTATAGAACTCTTGGAAAATGATTTGGATATGGCTCAAGTAGAACAAAATCAAGCAACAGAATTCATTGAGATCAATGATAAAACACCTGATGCACAACCGAAAGGTTGAAATATATAGCATTACTTTCATGTCATGTTAAATCAAACAACAATTTTTTTTGTTCTGTAGATTGTGATCATAATCGTGAAGGAGTAGATTTTCAACCAATACAGTCAATCAATCAAATTGAATCAGAAACAGGTATTCTAGCGTTTAGAAAATAACAAAGAAAAATAAATATTCTTTGAAATTTAGCTGGAACAATACCATCAAATAATCACCCACCGGATGTAAAAGCTTGTGTTAGAGCCATTTTGCAATATCCATCAATAATTTTATCTTCATCTGATATTGCTCTTGCAACTCGGCATTACTCTGCCATAGCTCGTCAACGTAGTATTCAATTAATGATTAATAAAAAGCTTTTGCATGAGGATTATTATTTCGTTCGGAAGTTGTCGAAATCGGTGAAGGTAACGAAAGGTTTTGCTAAACGAGTACCACAAGTAAACGATGAACAATCACGTTTTGATTTCATTACTGCTTTAAATGAGTTTGGAATTACGTGGGTATTGTTTAAATCTTTTTTTGATCTTACGAAAGATGGTATGTAGATAAAATGGTAATAAATATAAAAATTAATTTAATTTCTTCTATAGGCTTTCATACAACAACACAACTACTTTTGAATCAAACAGCTGAAATTTTGCTGGATTCAGAAGATTATCGCTCTTACGTCAATTATGATAAACGTGCAATATTTCGTCCGATTGAAAATGCAACAATAGAACAGGATGAATTGGAATATGGAGATAATGTTACAGGTAATATAATCTCGAAAAAATATGTATTGTTGAGCTTTATTGTATTTCATAGGTATTGAGCCATTTGAAAGTGTAGCAAAAGAAAGTGGAAAACGAAAAAAATCTCAAGCTGCTTCTCAATCCAAAAGAAAAAAAAGCTGAACAATTAGATATTTTATATATGCTTTTATAAAACAATTTTTGCGAAGGAAAATCGTAAAAAGAAACAGATATTCGTTGCGTATCTTTTTCTTTTGATATTATTGTTTTAAAGTTCTTTATTAACATATACAAGTCTGATATTTTTTTGTTATCATATTTTCGTATTTATTGATTTTATTTATAAGAAGTTCCAACAATTAAAACGAAACAACTTTTGAAAGTGAAACATATTACATCAGTATATTTTGTCTTTTTTGTCGTTGCAAAATCAGCTTTTTATCTTTATATATATAGACTATTTCCAGATATAAACAAGATGAATAATACACCTTTAGAAATTAGAAATGATCTTTTTTTTACCAAGCTATTGAAACAAGCTCCAATTTACACCATAATGATGCTACATGAAAGAATAAAAAATGCTTCTATATTAAATGACAAATATTCTGTTATTTGTGAGATTATCAATAAGCAATTTAATACCAACTTTTCACCTATTTTTATAAAACAACAAATTGATTTTTTCTCACCATCAGAATTATTTCGTGAATATTTAATGTTTTCTACGGATGTAGATCAACTGATAATTGATTATCAAAAATTTACTAATTACTCAATTGTGTTCAGGAAAGTTGAACCAATGTCGAAGAAATGTATTGTTTGTTCAGATAACGATAATGTGCTACCTGTATATCAATTATCAAAAACTTTTATATTTACTGAAAATGTTTTAGAACAATGCATAACTTTATATTCTCATTGTAAAATATGTAAATGGTCATATTATCCAAATAGTTACAGCCATGATATTGCCAGAAAGCAGTACATACGAAGGGAACAATTTTTAAATGTAGATGCATTTTATTTTGGAGGTGAATGTGTTTATTCTCACAGAATCTTTTTATCATTTTCAACAGCTTTAGTGACAATGAAAGCTTCTTTTCATGGATTTGTTAAATACGTCAATAGTATATTTATAAATAAAACAACATTTCCTGAGAAAAAGCTAGATGAAAAAAATTTTCAAATTAATTGGATTATCTATTGTGTTTTGAAGTTATTATTACAATGGAGTAGTGAAGAAGTTATTGAAATTCCATATTCTTTATATGATAAAGACCAAGCGAATACCTTTTTTAGTCGACATAAAAGTCAACTTTACTCAGCATTTGTCAAATATTGGTCAAATCAAGCAATGCACAAAACTTCGAATTGTACCACTAGCTGCACTGATATATTGATAGTCGATGGACATCAAAAAACAGCTCGAACAACGTGTAAATTCAACAATTGTTATGACAACACAATTGAAGAGTTAGGACCTGTACTAGTTGGATGTCCTAAGTCGGTTTCCAAGCATTCAGGTGCGTACACAAGTACTATTGCTTTTATGAATACTATCTACTCTCAAAATTTTCTAGAAATCAATTCGAATGCTCTTTGCGAAAAGCATCTCGAAATAGTTGCTAATCGTGGTATTCATGTTATGGAATTTGATGCATCCGATGATGTAACAGATGAAACATGTAACGTTAAACGTAATGAGCTATCTGACGATCAAACTCGATCGACAACTTATGGGTTTTTGGTTTCCTTTTACTCGTGTGGAATCGTGGCTGGTTTTGATGAATCAATACGATCTGAGTCACCACGCCGTGTTTTAAGACATTTAATTCGAATTGGTAAACCATATATTTTCTTGCCTCATAAATTCTTTTTTTTTTTAGGGCGATTCAGCAAATTTCCTTTGGGAATTATATACGACACTGCGTGTTCACTAAAACTTTACATGACAGCACGATATGGAACAGATTATTTTAAATCTACTCCAATTAGTGATCATTTTTATCACAACGTTCACTTCGTGCTCGATACTTTCCATCAGCGAAATCACACTCGGCATATGTGTAGAAATGAGATGCGTGTAGATCATCCATTGCACAAGAATATGTTTGACAATGTTAACAGTCAGATTGCAGAACAAACATTTTCTATCATTAGCCATTATAAAACACATTGGTCCAATTACTCATATCCAAAAAGCTACATACATTTTATCTTATTTTTTCATATATATAATTGTGATGTATCTAAAGCTCGATTTTAAATAAATTTGAAAGTTCAAAACATATTAAAACTCTTCGATATAATACTCAAAAACGCACATGATTCTATGTTACGAGAGACGTGTATATCACCCTTTTGCTATATAAATGCAGATTTATACTCATAATACTTCTTTCTTATTCATATAAAGCACATTCCTTAACTCAGTTCGTCCTTCGCATAAACTCAACGCACGATTTTATACGTATTCTGTATTATAATTTATTTCGTTTGGACGTTTAACTCAACTCATCTCGATTCAACTAAACAAGAAAGATGTATGTTATCTCTTCATATTACTCCTTGAATAAGAATGTATTTCTTAAGTTACTTTGATTTTAACTGTAATGAGCCCAAGTCAACGCATTAAGGGCCCCACCCCCTCAGAAAAGTCAATTTTTCGAAAAAAACTCGATTTTGAGATTTATACATA